CCTTAGTTTTTCTATCACTAAATCCCATTTCAGCACTTGCCTCTGTAAGCCTCTTTCTCAAACATTCAGGCCTGTTTATGGGCTTCTCCATCACTTTCCTCCTCTTGGAGATGCCCTGCAGCCTTGACTCACTGTCTGGACCTGCTGCCATGAAGTCCTACCCTAACTGTCACCCTTGTCACTGTTTGGCCATTATTCTGGGCTTTCCCATTTCCTCTCCCTGAGGCCGGGTCTGTTTCCTAGCCCTCATGCCCTCTTTTTATTTCCTTAGCTCCCCTCTCATTTTCACAGTACATCATCTAGGAACTTTGTGAGAAAAGCATATGTGAGAAACACATTTTAAAACTAATGTATAAATTGTAGAACTGTAAAAACATTTTTATTCTACTCAAACTGGATTGTTATTTTTAGCAGAATATAGAATTCTGAGTTGGAATTTTCTCTCAAAAATTTAAAGACATTGTTCCATGAAATGTGGGTTCTGCAAAGAAAAATCAGTCTCATGTGTGGTTGAAGGAAAATTTCTTCTGGGTCCATAGCTGTGGTCAAGAAAAGGAATCAGGAGTTCTGATTTTGTTGTTGTTGTTGTTAAAAAGGGATAAGGTATGCATAGTAATATGCACAAATCTTAAATGTATAGTTTGCTGAATTTTTATAGATGTGTACACTTGAGTAATATTCATCCAGGTTATGAACTGGAAAATTTCCAGCATTCTATAATGTGCCCTTATGCCCCATCCCAATCAATTTTCCTACCTCCCTATTGGAATATATTGATCCACTTTTCATTACTGTAAAGAAATACCTGAGGTAGGCTACTTGTGAAGAAAAAAGGTTTATTTACCTCACTGTTTTGGAAGCTGAAAGTCCAGGTTCTGTGCAGGTTCTGGTATGGTCCTCTGCCTCACCTCTTGGAAGATGACAGTGGTGGTAGCAAGAGATCACATTGTCAAAGCAACAAGCCAAAGATACTGGAGTCCCATAATCCCTTGTAAGAGCACACCCTCCTTTGCCTATGGACTTCTCAGTAGGTCCCGCCAACTCTCAGCATGGCCACACTAGGGACCAGACTTTCAACACAGTGAAACTTTGTGCAAAACTTTTAAATCAACCAAACAAGGGGTACCCAGTGTTCCGATATTTTTCACTATAGATTAGTTTTACATGCTCTAAAACTGCACATATATGGAATCATACAGCATGTGCACTTTTGTGTCTGGCTTCTTCACACAGTATAATGTGTCTGAGATTCATCCCTGTGTTTCTATGCATCTGGAGTTTGCTCATTTTTATTGTTGGAGTTATTTTATATAAACATTTTTCATTTTTAAATTTTTTTGGTACTGGAGATTGAAGCCAAGGGCACCTTACCACTGAGCTACATCCCCAGTCCTTTTTATATTTTTATTTCGAGACAGGGTCTCACTAAATTGCTCTAGGTCTTGCTGAGTTGCTGAGGCTGGCCTTGAACTCATGATCCTCTTGCCTTAGCCTCCTGAGTTGCTGGGATTATAGGTGTACTCCACCGTGCCTGGCTTTATTGCTAAGTTTTATTTCTTTTAGGAATATATTATAATTGTTCATCCATGTTCCTGTTCTTAGGCATTTGGGTTTCTTTTTTTGGCGATTATGAACAAGTTGCTGTAAGTTTGCTTATCTGGGCTTTTTGTGAACTCTGCATTAACCTGTCTTGGGGGGCATATCTGAGAGTGGAATTGTTGGGTTATAGTATGGTTCATGTTTAACTTCATTAGAAACTTATGATAGTTTTCCGTGGTGCTTGTTATCATTTTATAGTTGTTTCTTCAGTAGATTTGGAATCAGCCTTAATTGGAGACTTACTTCCATTTCCAGAAGTGTCTGGTGGCCACCCCTTGCTGAGTATTTGGGGATTCTGAAGAGTAAATCCTGTAGGGGTTTGTCTTCCCTCCTTGCTGTTGTGGGATTCATTTTTCTCAGCACCACTGGGTCAGTTCATACTCAGCCTTCTGAAACTTTGCTGCCCCTTTACATTTCTGCATTTAAAATCCTCATTTTACTACCATCTTAGTGGGTTTCCAGGAGCTAGTAGACCAAAATGCTTCCCTTCAACTCGCCATTTGAAGTCTAATCAGTTTTAAAGCTTGTGCTTTCCCACAATCATTGGAATTGCTTATTTATTTAAACATGAACAGTAAGTTTGTCACATCTTGAGCTTGGAGCAGTAGGGAGGTAAGGGACAAAATAAAAGTCCTTTGGCAGCAGGGAAAGGTCAGCCTATTTAAAGAATGAAATCTTATATTAAAACGCACACTCAACAATACCAAGCTGTGATAGCCATAATTATTTAATGGCATTATGCGATAGGGATTATGAATAAATTTTATCAGGTGAGAGGCAAACAGAAGGTGATGCTGCCTCTTGGTAGCCACAGACTCCCCAAACCTTTTATTTAGTCACTTAATTGATGCCTGGGATGAACTTGGACACAATGCAATTGATGAGGGGCAAGGTGAATTCCAAATACTGAATTAAAAAACAGTATTTTTTTTTTTTTTGCATTTTGCACTTGGTATGAATATCACAAAATATTTAAGATTCAAGTTAGTAGCAAATGAAACCACAGCATAAAAGGTTGATGTCAGGTTGCGAGTCCTTGTGAGAGGTCTCACTGCTTAGGTCTTGGATGTGCATCTTCCCCTGATGTCCCCAGGGCCACGTGGGTAAGCCCTCTACTTTTTGGCTTCCAGTCTGTCTCATGATTTAAAATACAGGTTCTAAGAAGACATTTCTCTGTCAACCCTGGGCTTTCTCTTTCTTGAGAACAAATCTGAAGAACTTAGCTTCTGTAAAATTCAGGGACTGAAAGTCATGGTGCTCACTTCACTGGGCAGGTTTTAAAAGTAATTGTACTGACAGTTTTTTTTTTTTTAAGCAATTGCACCATTTTATACTTGCACAAGCAATGTTTCGAAAGTTCAGTGTTCCTCATSCTTACCAACACTTGGTATTGTTGACTTTTAAATTTTAACCATTCTAGTTGTGTTTAGTGGTATCTCATGGTGTTTTTAAGTTGCATTCATGATGATTGATAATGTTGAACATCTTTCCATGTGCCTGTTGGCTTCCTGTAACTTTCTTCTGTGTGTGCGATGTCAGTCCAAGTCTTTTGCCCCACATTTTGAATTGAGTTGTGTATCTTTTTGTTATTGAAACAAGGGGTTATTTATATCCTGGATACAGGTTCCTTGTTCAATATATGCATGAAAATATTTTCTCCTTATCTGTGACATGCCTATTGATTTTGTTGTTGTAGTTTTTGATAGCCAGGTTTAATATTTTAGTAAAGAGATTTGGGGTCCAGTATTGGGAGTGTTGGGTCCTCACTCAGTTTTGCACGGGGTGATGTTAATTTTTAATTTTATGAAGGGTCGTAGTGGGCTGTTTGCTGTAGGACCAAAACTCTGCTGTCTTTTCAAGGCATCCTGTAGTTTGCTATGGAAAATTTCCAAAGGAAAGTTCGAGATCTCCCTGTACTAGCACTGACTGTGTTGCTGGATATGAAGATTTCAGATGTGTTAAGTATCTGAATAGCAATTGGCAATTTGCAGGAATCTACGTGGGAAGATCCTGCTCTGTCATTTGCCAACAACACATCCTCCTTTTCTGGAAAGCTTTGTCATAATCACAAGTAGTACTGTGCAAGAGGGGACACATGTTGCCTGCTGCTCACGTCAAGTCCTCTGGCCACCAAGGAATCCAGCCTGGGAAACTGGAATGTAGCCGTGATCAGAATTTTCCCAAAGATTTTATGACAGGTTGTTACAAATTTATAGCAATAAAAGGAGAGAAGCCAGACTCCTCTGGGAGAAGCAGGAATTTCCCCCTAGGAAGGATGGTATCATTCGGTATTAAATACTGACTTACATTCGGTATTAAATACTGACTTACAACATGGGTCTGGAGAGATGCTTTGAAGTTTGACAGGGAATGAAATTATAGTTGAAGGCCAAGTATTCTCTATTGGTGTTTATTTGTGAACTCATTTGCCAGCCAACTCTGATATATCAGCTATCTAAATTGATGCTTTGTTTACACAGTAATAATTATTGGCTCTAACCTTTTGTATTTGTTTTTGTATTTATAAAAAATTTCAATATTCATAATAATCAAGTTGAAAGACCTGTGTAGCCTCTGATGTTCACCAAGTAAATGCTGGTTTCTTGGTTGACTTCTGTCAGTTCTTAATTATTTGGAGTAATATTATATTATTATTATTATTATTATTATTATTATTATTATTATTTGGGTATTGAGTTCAGGGACACTCAACCACTGAGCCACATCCCCAGCCCTACTTTGTATTTTATTTAGAGACAAGGTTTCACTGAGTTGCTTAGTATCTCACTAAGTTGCTGAGGCTGGCTTTGAACCCTAATCCTCCTGCCTTAGCCTCCTGAGTCACTGGGATTATAGGTGTGCCCCACCACTTTGGAGTAATATTATTTTTAACTTTGGAAAAAAGTTCACAGAAAATTTTTGTGCACTTCTTTAGTACCTAAACTGTCATGATCTGTGAAAAGACCCATTTTTACTTTCATTTGTATCCTATGATATTTGGCCATCAATGACTTGTTTTTCCTGTATTCCTCTTATAATCTAGAGCTTTTCTTTTGTCTCTTTACTGTTATTGATCTAGCAAAACTCAGGAAAAGTCAGAATGACTCAATGAGGAAATAGCCAGGGCTTCACACAACATCTGGATCAAAGATGAAGGAAGAAGAATTATTTGCAAAGAGGAAAAAAATAGGAACATGAGATTATTGAGAAGATGTGAGTCAGTGGCATTCCTTAGCACAATTTAAAAAATTCTAAAATATGGTAAAAACAAGTTTATAAAAGCATTGTTTGAATTTTTAAAAATTTTCTCTTGGAAGAATTTTTTTTTCTTTGTTCCAATCAAACCTTGCCTGTATTTAGCTGTGGTCTTTTTCTAACTGCCCATCCTCTTTCCATTTTAGGTAAACCTCTTCGTGTTGCTCTCTGTGGTTTGTGTCCTCCTAAATCTTGCGGGATTCATCCTAGGCTGCCAAGGGGCGCAGTTTGTGTCCAGCGTGCCCAGGTGTGATCTGGTAAGCAGCCCTAGACATCACTGTGCATCAGGCAGACCTTGGCCCAGCTGCTCTCCTGGTGTGACGAGTAGCAGTGTGACTGACAACTGTGCAGAAGTGAAGCCTGAAATTGGTACAAGAAAGTGGGAAAACAAAGCAAAGAGCTCTTGCTCATTATTTTACTTGATTGTCAATTTTTGCCACAGCAGTGATCAACCATTATAACCCCAGAACCATAGACATGTCGTACATCATTAGTTAGTGAATGATCTGTCTGCCTTCCTCTAAAGAGGAGAAATGGGTATTAAAAGGATTCTGGCTAATGATCTTTATATGAAAGCTCTGTGGTCAGGTGAATGTCAGCATTAAGGGATTTTCTGAGTTCAGAGGATAAGTATGGGGCATACACCATTTATTATGCAGCAGCCTGCCAGTGAAGTCTGGGACAGCAGGCTATAATCAAAATTTGGTTTTCAGAGCTTTTGGGATTTCAGGATTGTGGATAAAAGGGTGTGGACTTGCAGCATTTCTAATTTTAAAAAAATTTTAAATTGTGGTAAAATACATATAACCTAAAGTTGACCATCTTAACCATTTTTAAGTGTACATGTGAGTAGCAGTTGTGTGCATTTACACTGCTGTGCAAGCCATCTCCGGAACTCCTCATCGGGCAACTCTGAAATAGCATCCCCCTCTCATCCTCTCCCTGAGTGCCTAGCAACCACCATTGTATTTTCCACTTTCATGAATTTCAGTTCTCTTAAGTACCTCATATAAGTTGAATCATACTGTATTTATCTTTCTGCAAGTAATTTACTTCTCTAAGTATAATGCCCTCAGGATGTTTCCATGTTGAAGTGTGTGTAAGAATTCCCTTCCCTTTTTAAAGCCAAATAATACACCATTGTATGTACATGTGACACATTTTGTTTATCCATTTACCCATGGATGGGCCCTTGGGTTGTTTCCATCTTTTGTCTATTGTGCACAATGCTCTATGACCATGGGTGCAACACATATCTCTTCTGCACCCTGCTCTCAGTTGGTTTGAGTGTATTACCCAGGAATAGAATCACTGGCTCTCTCTGAACTTTTTAAAAGTACTTCTCAGTAACAGCTGTCTCTGTGTGACACAAAGCAAAAGGAATGGATTCTTTGGAAGTTGTAGTGAATCTCATCTATTTGGAACTTAGTTGTGAGGTGGCCTGATCCTACAGAAACCAGCAGGATGCAAGCAAAGAGGGCTGCCACCTTGCTACAAAGGCTGTGGTGGATTTGAAGCTCCTCAGTGAAACTCATGACCTCCCCAGACAGGAAAACTTCCCAGGAACTCAACCGAAAACCTGTTGCTCTTTTTTTTTTTTTCATTTTGCAATTATAAATTTATTGATATTCACTTTACATTGTGATCTATAAAAGTGAGAATACAGTGTTGATAATGAACACAAAATGTTATGGGGATACTCATGAAGAACAACTTGATTATATCACATCATCTACAGGTTAAATCATTGCAACTTAAATAACCTCTTTCAGAAACCTTAAGAACTTTCTTATTGATATTTTTCTATTTTAATGGGGAAGGTGGATAAAACAAATGAAAAATTGAACACCCACAGATGATGGAGTTGGTTGTAATGTTTTTCAAAATCCAAATGTGATTATGGGAATATGGTATCTAGTGATAGCCCTGATTATTTATGTGGATCAAAAACATGGCTCCCTCACTACTAGTTAAACCAAAAGCAACAAATTGCAACCACATTTAAACTGTATAAGATCCTTATGAAAACAAATGAATGCCACATCTTACTTTATTTGATATGTCTAAATTTAGAAAGAGAAAAATTTAGGTAGGATGTTCTATTATTTAAAATATCAATGTAACATAATGTGAAATATGTAAATTTAAATGAAACTTCAGTAACCCAGAACTCCAACACATCTCTGAAAGCAGCTGTGGAGTTGGCAGCCTGGAGAATTTATCAATGTAATTGCAATACAAAAAGATACTGTTTTGAAAAGGGATACATAAGAAAAGAGATATGAGCTTCAACTCCAATTGAGCAATTGCCTTTTTATCTTTAGCAATGCCTTTTTATCTTTAGCCTCAGTTTCCTATCTAAAATTTTCTCTTTCTAAATTTAGGCATATCTAGTATCTTGATTTTTTTTCTATATGCATTTATTTGTTAGACTATTCTAATTTTAACTATTATCAGATAGATATTCATTAGTTATGTTTGTCAAATGTTTTAAATTCCCATAAATCATCAAATTATTACTATAACTAATTTTAATTCTTAAAAATACAAAGGATCTTCTTTTATAGCTACTACACACTCTGGCACATGTGTAAGTGTATATGACCGCACATCTATATTTTGAAATTAATGTTTATTTAGGTCATTATTTCTAAATGCTAAATGTTTTTACATAATACATAAAGTATAGATTTCTAAGTAATATTTTAACACATAAAATATTAGTAAATTGTTCAAATATTGTTATAAATTAGATTTCTTCTTTTAATTTATTTTTTAAAATTTGTTCTACTTAGTTGTACATGACAGCAGAATGCATTTTAATTCATTGTATTCAAATGGAGTGCAACATTTCAGTTCTCTGATTATACACGGTGTAGAGGCGCACCATTTGTGCAGTCATACATGTACCTAGGGTAATGATGTCCATCTCATTCCACCATCTTTCCTGCCCCCATAACCTCTCCTCCCCCTCCCATTTGCCCTATCTAAAGTTCCTCTATTCTTCCCGTGCTGCCCCATACCCACCATCATAGATAAATATCCATTAACCAGAGAAAACCTTCTGCCTTTAGTTTTTTTGGGACTGACTGACTTGGCTTAGCATAACATTCTCCAACTCCATCCATTTACCTGCAAATGCCATAGTCTTATTCTTTTTTAATGCTGAGTAATAGTCTTTCTTAGAATTCTTCAGATTCTGTAGCTTAATAACCTTAAATTATGGATTCACATAACCTTTAAGACCCTCAGTGAATTGTCATCCTGTCTTTGCACTGGAGCAGCTCACAATCCCTATAATTGAGGTAAACCCCACCTGTTATTTCCTAGGATCTTGCCCTATTTTCTTATTTCTAACAATGGTGTCTCTCCCACAAGGATTCCCTTCCCCTAACCTCTCCATCTGTTCAAATGCTATTAGTTTTTTTAAAGCCCCATTAAAAGACTGTTTTCTTCAGGAGATAGTCCCTGATCCACAGAGAAAATAATCTTCCAGAAGATTCTATCTGTACATTTCTTAGGCGCTTATCTATCCCTTTCTCTTTTGTGCTAAAAATATTTATGTACCCGTCTTCTTTTTTCTCAGCTGGAATCTCCTGGAAGAGTTATATCTAGGTCTCTTTTATCTTGGGAGTTTCCAGGAACCCCACACATACTCCTCTATGTACAAATAGTTCCCAGAGAAAAATTCTGGACAGAGGTTGGTTTTCTAATTATTAGCCACACAGCAAATGAGAAAGGGTAAAGAGAAAAGACACAGACCAGAAGTGAAAAGTGATGATATATGGAAGGACGATTCAGGAAAATTGTTGCATAGATCAGAATTTCCTTTCTTTTTAATTTTTTTTAAATTTTATTTTTATTTAACTGATTTTATTTTTTAAAACACATGACAGCAGAATGTATTACAATTCTTATTACACATATAGAGCACAGTTTTTCATATCTTTGTATATAAAGTATGCTCCCGCCATTTCATGTCTTTATACATGAACTTTGTTTTTTTTTTGCATTACAATTCTTATTACACATATATACCACAACTTTTCATATCTCTCTTTGTATATAAAGTAGGTTGACACCCAATTCGTGTCTTCATACATGTACTTTGGATAATTATGTCCATCACATTCCACCATCCTTGCTAATCCCCYGCAAGAATTTCCTTTCTTTTTAAGACTGAATAATATTTTTTTCTGAATAATATTCTTTTAGATGTATATGACCCATTCTGTTTATCTGTTAATCTTTGATAAATATTCTACCTCTTGGCTACTGTGTATAGTGTTGTGATGAACACAAATTTATCTCAAAAATATCTTTTTGGGATCCTTTGGATTTATACCCAGAAGTGGGTTTGCTAGATCATATGGCAATCTTCTTGGAAATTTGGTACTAGGAATTGAACCCAGGGTGTTTAGCCACTGAGCCATAGCCATATCCCTTTTTATGTTTTATTTTGTGATAGGGTCTTGTTAAGTAGCTTACGGCCTTGCTGAGTTGCTGAGGCTGGCCTTGAACTTGTGATCCTCTTGCCTCAGCCTCCTAAGGTGATTACAAGCATGCACCAACATGCTCAGCAGTAATTCTCTTTTTAACTTTTTGAGGAGCCTCCATACTATTTTCCAAAGTGGCTGCACCATTTTAGGTTTCTGCTAACAATGCACAAGGATTCCAATTTCTCCACATCCTTATTGACACCCATTTTCTATTTTTCTTATAGTGGCCATCCTAATGAGTATGATGAGGTTATATCTAATTGTAATACTGATTGCATTTCTTTGATTATTAGTGATATTAAACACCTTTTCATGTRTTTTGTTGGCCATTTGTATTTCTTTTTGGAGAAAATGTTTATTTAAGTCTTTTGTCCATTTTTCAGTTAGGTAATTATTATTATTATTTTTTGTTGCCTTGTAGGAATTCTTTTTATATAGTCTATATTACCCCTGGTAGATAAATACTTTGTATGAAGTATACTTTGAATTTAAGAATTACCTCTACAAAATCAACTCTGTGATTATTTCTGATTATATAATTGTGAAAGTTTGAACAAGCCATGAAATATAGACTAGAACTTAAGAATCACTAAAAATCCTAGTATTGTAGGGATCCTAGTTCTAGCACAGTTAACCACTTAGCTTTGTTTTATGCATCTTTTTATTCACACAGTATACATAATTTCCCATCAATGGGATCATATTATAATTAATTGTTTTTCATTAGGAAGGTCATTGATAAATGAAGTAAGTCTTTGGGAAAGGGAATAGTTTCCTTTCCCCTTTTCCTCTTTCCCCCCAACATCATTTTACCTTCATGGTAACAGTCTGGGAAATTTCCTTTGGTAAATATTTACAGGATAGGGTTGTTCATGATTTTTCAAGAATGGGATATATTCTATATGCTTCGTTACAACTTTTCTCACTTAAAATATTTATCATACAAAGATTAATACAGATCTAACACCTTTTTTTTCTTTTATCACTGTAATTCCAGTGATTCAGAAGACTAAGGCAGGGAGATCTCAAGTTCAAGGTCAACCTTGGCAATTTAGTGAGACTATCTATGTCTCAAAGTAAAACAGGGCTGGGGTAATATAGCTTAGTGATAGRGCACTTTCTTAGTATACATCAGGTCCTTTAAACCCTAGCACTACAATAAAAAATAAAAATAGAAATCTTTTGCTGGTAGAAATGTGGAGAGTTACTGGTGGAAATGTGAGATGTTTTAATTCTGTTTTGTTGTTGGCTTGGGTTTGGGCCAATAGAAACAATGCTGCCATCAGCACCATACTGTATCCCCATGCAGGCTTTTAGTCCTGACTGGAATAAGCTTCCAGGGCAAGGGATGGCTCTATAGTGTATCTTTTGTCTAATTTATTATAAATCCAACAATCTTATGACTCTGTCCAGTTTTTAAACATTGAGTTAAAATTTACAGTGGAATACACAGATCTTATTGCACAGTTGTCTGGGTTTTTACTCAAGTTATGTACTCATCTTGACCAGAACATTTCCATAACCCTAGAAAGTTCTTTGGTGTCCCTTTCAGACACTCTCTGTGCTCTCATAGGTAGTCATAGTTCCTGTTTCTTTCACTGTAGGCTAGTTTTGCGTTTTCTTGAATTTCATATAAATGAAATCATATGGTATATACCTTGTTATGTCTTATTTTGCTCAGCATAATATTTCTGATACTTACTCATGTGCTTGTGCCCTTTTTGGCAGAGCAATATTTCATTGTATGAAACGACCACAGTTCATTTTATCCATTTTCCTGTTTTGATGGACATCATTTGGGTTGCAACCAATTTGAAAGTATTATGAACAAAGCAGCTATGGACATTATTGTATAGTGTTTTTGGGAACCTGATTTTATTTCTTCTGAGTAGATACCTGGGCATGGAACTGCTGGATCATGTGTCAAATGGGCTTAACTTTTTAAGAATCTGCTAAACAATTGTCCAAAGTAGTTATGTGAAATAAGTATTTTTATCTAAATTGGATATCTAGTTCCTTTATTAAAAGATACTACCCTCTAAAGTATTAAAGGATACTACCCTCTATCATCTCACATTTCCACCAGTAACTCTCCACATCTCTATCAGCAAAAGATTCCTATTTTATTTTTTATTATAGTTCTAGGGTTTAAAGGACCTCATGTATACTAAGCAAGTACTCTACCACTGAGCTATCCCTGTTTTACTTTGAGACATAGATAGTCTCACTAAATTGCCAAGGTTGACCTTGAACTTGAGATCTCCCTGCCTCAGTTTTCTGAGTCACTGGGATTACAGGCATGCACCACCACACCCCAGCTCTAATTATTTTTGCCAGTCTGAGCAGGCTAAAGTGAGACGTCATGGTTACTGTAATTTAATTTACAGTTCCCTGTTTGCTAAAGATGACATCATAATTTTTTTGGTTAAGCTCTCTGGAATATTCTAATGTGTGATTAGGGTTGAAAAACCACAGTGTTGGAGGATAACAGGAGGAAGACAGATCTGATAGTGGTGGGTGATAGTATCAAGGTTGAAGGTGGGTGTTCATTACTTAGCATTGGGGAGACATCTTTGGGGCTTTGAAGATCAATGAAAAAGACTGAAGAGAAGTAAAAAGGAATCTTTAGAAATATTGGGCAGAGATGGGTTTAAAGAGAGAAGTGAAAGCATTAGATGGTTCAGGATCAGGAACAAGGAACACCAAATGCACCCTTGCCTTCAGTCATCTTGCAAAGAGCCTGGGGGCTTCCTTTTATCCTGTGGGCTCATTAATTGGTATGCATAATCACTTTTATGATTCAACTTGCAGATGGTCTTGTTTAAAGGGATCAACTTTCACTCATCTGGAAAGTGTTGCCATCCATCTTGGTTTACCCTAAAGATTTTAGAGTTATGTGTCTGCCTATGTGAAGGTCAGGTGTTAAATGAGTCCTGCAGCCACCTGTGTGGAGCACACAGACCTGCTTCCTCACTTACTGAGCACCTTGCTTCAAGAATGAATGCTGTGGAAGGAAGTAAGATGATGCCTAGAATTACCTGGGGGAAGGAGAGGCTTTAGGCAAGGTCTGGAGGCTTGTTCCAATGAGGAATAGAGAAATAGAAATCATGTGGAGTCATGGTGGAGAAAGTGAGTCTGGTTCCTGGTGGGGAGGAGAGCAGGGTGAAGGCTCCATTAGCGCGTATTTGTTATAACCAGTGTCGTTAGTGTTAATACAGGGACTGTTCTCCTGGAAACTTTAAAGGAGGAAGCCTATTGGGATGAACATTCACCTGCAGACTGCAGCCCAGTGTACGGGGTATTACTGATTATGGAAGAGGGGCAAAGAGAAGCCAGGGATGCCTGGAAGGAGAGAAGTGTTCCTTCCTGTCTAGAYTCTGTTTAGAGCAAGCCTGTGAGAATGGCCAAAGTAGTTTTCCTTTAGAGGGTAGTATCAATAGTGTTTTCTTTAGAAGGCTAGTAGCAATAGTAGCAGCAAGATATAACTTCAAAAACTGTGAGACAGTGGTGGAAAAATTCTAATACAAACAGCCTGTGCCTCTGTGTGGGGGGTTATGGATCTAGGTTTGGGGACATGGCTAAGGTAAATCGTTTTCATAGACACACCAGGAAAAGATGGAGACCAGAAGGGGATGAGTTAATAGAGATGATGGAGGCCATCACGGTAACTGAGGTTGTCATTCCTTGTGCTTAAGGCAGAATTTATATTAAGATCTGATACAATAATGCATCCCTTTCAATGTGATCTGAGGACAAACAATCAAAAATGTTTCAGAATCCATGGAGTTTTGGAAGAAGCAAAACCAATCTATAGATGGCAAATCTATATATGGGCAAAAATTGAGAACAGGGGTGCCTCTAGGAAGGTGGGGGCAGAGATTGATGGAGAAGGGTAGGAGGGGCTTTCTCTGGAGATGGCAGTGTCCTGTAGTCGTAAGGGCTTGGACACATAGGTGTATGCATTACATAGAAGTCCTCAAACTGAACATTTAGGATTCATATTTTTTTTTGGTGTAAATTATACCTCAAAATAAAAAGAAGCTATAGTCCCTCTGCCCTCAAATATTATGTAATCTAACAGAATGTTTTTCTTTAGTTCCCTAGTCTACTCAGATTATAAGGAATCAAGTTTTCTCTTAATTTTGTGAAACACTGATATTTCTTACTGTAACTAGAGGTTAAGAATCTCATTTCAATAAGAAGGTGCCTCCTCTGTTTAGCAACTAAAATAGTGTGAATATTCAGTCATTCATAAGGATTCCTGAAGAATTTTGCAGCTAGTGAAATTAGAGCTGCCTAATTAACAAGCAATGAAAGAGGTAGAGCCTTTCCTTTTAGGCAAAATGAAGCCAACTCTTAATAGCTCAGGCAGCAGAACAAGTGAGAATAAACCTCACCCTCAGATTATGGGTCTTAGTGGCCAAAATCTGGTATTACAAATTCCATAGCATGGACTCAAGAAAAACTTGAAAAGTAACTGAAAGTTTGCAAAGCATCTCACTAAAAATGGATGAGGTTATGCATCAATTACTACTTCAAATAACATTTTCTGGCTGGCCAGAAAATATAGGAGAAATTCAGGAACTTTATCTCTTATTTAATAGGTAACAACTATGGCTACATTGAAGATGTGGAAAAAAGTTCTCTGTAACCCTGTCTGGTGTACAGTAGTTTGATATACTATATGCTTGTTTCACATATATGGTGGATTGGACTTCGTACCTTCTTGGAGTTAGATGAGACCATGTGATTTGCTTTGGCAATAAAATTATGAGTTAAAATGATGAGTATTATTCAAAGGAGGAAGTATTAAAGTAGGGTTGCTGTATTTAATAAGTAAAAATATAGGATGCCCAATTAAATTTGAATAATTTAATTGGATAAACTGTTAATTTTTTTTAGTATAAGTATGCCTCAGGCAATATTTGGGACATACTTATATTTAAAAAAATTATTGTTTGTCTGAATTCAAATTTAATTGGGCATCCTATATTTTATCTGGTGATCCTATTTTAAGTGCCAGTGTGCCATTGATCATGTGCTCTCTATCTGTACAGCATGTCATTCATGCCATGCCATGGAGATGGTGGATGTTCCATTGGTCTGAGTCCCCAAGGGATATGTTAAGTAGATCCCCTTGCTGATCAGCTGTGAACTTGTATCATGTATGAAAACTAACCTTTGTTGGTTAAGCCACTGAAATTTTGGTTTTGGTTATTACTGTAGCATACCTTTGCCTATTCTGACTAATGCAGGTACTGCCTAATTATGTTATATCGCATTCTGTAGGACTGATGTTTTGTGGTCCAGCAAGAGAGTGATTTTAGTTCATAATTAAATTATTGTTCTACCTCTTTTCCATTAAGGTGGATTTAGGTGAAGGTAAGATTTGCTTCTGTTGTGAAGAATTTCAACCAGCCAAATGCACAGACAAAGAAAATGCCTTGAAACTCTTTCCAGTTCAGCCTTGTAGTGCTGTTCATCTTCTCCTTAAGGTATGTTGAACATGTTCCAGCCTCACCAAGAAATATACCATTGTGCCCTTAATGAAGGCAATGTTACTCGAAATGTTCCTATCCTGTCACTGTCCTCAAATAATTAAGCTGCTGATCATAGATATGAGCAACCTCTTCATTAGTGACTCAGAGGCAGAATTGAGTATGGAAAGAACCACAGATTATTGTTTCTTTAAATTATGAATTTAAAATTTTTGAATACACAACTTTCTGTGTGTTGAAGAATTGTAAGTTAGCAAAAAATGGAAAGAAGCCTAACTATACATATATGTGTGCCCGTGCATGCGTGGTGTAACTTTTAGCAGAGACTTTAAATTGCAAGCTCATTGTCATTGTTCTGCTGCTCATTGGTTAGCATGAGTGAGATATGGAGCTTTGTCAGATGTTGCTGTTCTGTGACACATGGACTAAGAAGAGAGGTAGGCCAGACAATAATGGAGAAATTCATTATCTCATTTAATAGGTAACAACTACAATATGAAAAAGAAAACTTAAAAATAAATAACAATTTATCTCAGTCAAAGAGAAATACAAAATTAATCGTTGTTAGGGAATTGGATATAAAAATTCAGTTCAGTGAGTGACAAAATCAGTTGGTGAACCTGATTTGTTGTTTGGATTGTTTACTGCAGATCTTTGTTTTGGTTTTATTTTTGTTGTGAGGAGGAATCTCTAAGCAGAGCAAGATAACTGTTGGAAGCTGCCAGCCCTGGGTTTAGTGGATGTAAAAATGGCCTGCTTTCTTTGGCTTCTACATATTTGATGGCTGAGTCACTGCCAAACTTTCTGAGCCAGGCCTTAACTTGGGGAAAGCCCCACGCAGGAGCCAGGACTGTGGCAAAAGAAACTTTTGGAATTGCCTTTGCTGCTGTGCTCAGAGGAAAGAAGTCCTGTTTATGCTCTGGTTGCCTTGGCCCCTGCTGTGCCCTAATTGGGTGCTTGGAGCAGCACTGCCAATTGCTTCTGAAATACAATAAGTGGCCACAAATTAAGCAGCCCATGCTGTCCTGGTGGGAGGCTGGGAATCACATCCTAGGGAACACCAATTTCAGAAAATAACTTTGCTACTCCATTGGAAGGTGTGTTTCTAGATAGCATTCTGGTGCTTGCAGAAAGCAAGCATCCTTTGGTATTGATGGGGGGTTGGCTCCAGGACCCCTGAGGACACCAAAATGTGTGATGTCCAAGACCATTACATAAAACAGCATATCAGTTGCATAGAATCTACACATATCCTCTTGCATTCTTCAAATCATCTCTAGATTATTTTCTATGCCTAATGCAATGTAAATATTATATAGTTATTGTACTGTTTAGGGCATGATGGCAAGAAAAAAGTCTGCATGGTCAGTCCTTTTTTTTTTTTTCTGAATATTTTCTATCTTCAGTTGGTTGAATCTGCAGATGTGGAACCCAAGGATACAGAGGGCCAACTGTAACATCATCATACCAGGTCTTTTTGAGACAGACAGCTTCTGAGATGAGTTTTAAAGATTAAAAAGTGCACACTCTTGCAGGAGGGTCATAATAACAGCCGGCCTTAATTTTGGTGACTTCCGGGAGCCAGACCCATCTCACACTTGTCTTTTCAGGGCCCTTGTCTCCCCAGGATGTTGTGCTTAGGATTCAGATATGTTTTAACACTGCATGGCGGCTGTCTGCACTCAGGTGCTCCGTAGCAATGTTTTTTTTTCGTGTTTCAGAAAGTCCTCTTTGCCCTGTGTGCCTTGAACGCGCTGACCACCACCGTCTGCCTGGTGGCCGCCGCCCTGCGCTACCTGCAGATCTTTGCCACCCGGCGATCCTGCATCGTAAGTCTATGCGAGGCGCTTTTGGTGCCGAGTCCATGGAGCCAGCCCCTCGCCCTTTGGTGTGACCCATTGCTTTTCTCCCCTCGCCCTTGTGCTGACTCACCAAAGTGCCCTTTAATCAGGATGAATCCCAGATGTCTGCAGAAGACGTGGAAGATCACGGACGCATTCCAGACCCCGATGACTTCGTGCCGCCTGTGCCTCCCCCTTCCTACTTTGCCACCTTTTACTCGTGCACACCGAGGATGAACCGCAGGTATGGTCCCTAAGTCCTGCTGCGGTTCTCAGTGGGGTCCTCCGTCTTGAAAACTGAGTCTCCAGAGGTCACAGCAAGACTCTGACTTTTCTTGGAAATATAGATGGATTGTGTTGTTTGTCAGGGTTCTCAATTCTCATTGTCTCTTTTCTCTTTTGTCTGAAAAACCCAATGAATCAGAAGAAAAGTCAAACCTTGACCTAAAGAGATACTTTTTCAATTTCAATTAGCTTCCTAGAGAAAACTGACACCCAGGGAGATAACAACTGTAATTTGACATGATTGAAAGTCGCTGTTACCCTGGAAACGCTCCCAGTTAGCCGAAATCGATGTTTCATTATAACACCATCAGCAGGGCCCAACAATCATGAAATTCTTCCCAGCCATTAAGAAAAGATTGATTATTAATTGCATTATCCTGGTTTAGGAAAATAGACACCTTGCTTATTTTCTTTTTCAAACTCCAGCTCAGAATTTGACCATCTTTTTTCAAATATCTGGAATTATCATTTGTAGAATGAAATGCTACCTGTATTTGTCTGGTTGTTACTGACTTCTAGAAATGAACCTTTAAGAACAACGCATTTAGTCATGCAGCAAACATACAGTCAATCCTTAGCTGCTTGCTCATTGCTGTGTTAGGTTATTGAAATTCAAAAGGAGCTAGACCTGCTTCCTCCCCTCCGATCAAGGAGTATACACCTAGGTCGTTAGAATGTGTGTTGAAGGATCACACTATGATCAAAAGAGACACTTGGGGTGCACGGAGGAGGTCTGCCTAACCTAGAATAGTGAGATGGGAATGGCTTCCTGGAAGAAGTGACCTTAAGCTGAGTTTAAACAATAAGCGAATTTATTATACTTAAGCCCCAAAGAAAAACCTCTGAATTTGCAGTAAGACTAGTATCTTGAACTTGTTATCCTGAGGGCCATGCATTTCARCTTTTTAATTTCTGTAGTATATGTGAAGTTAACAAACCGTTTTGGTGCCAGGCTTGTGGTTATTGGAAAAACATTTTCTAAAGTTCAGGGCAGCTATATGTGACTTTTCAGATGGGTCCCACTAGGCACTGTTAATGCTCTTCCTGACCTGTCCTACTAGAAAATCCTGAACCCCCTCCCTTCCCTGCCCAGACAGAGGCAGCAGTGATCACAAGCTGGAGAGGGTGTCAGCTGAGTGGACAGATGGCCTGGGGCAGCTGTGGGATAGCTCAGCCTCTCTTTGGGGAGTGGCCTTCTGGCATTTTTAAGCTTCAGGGGCCAGGGTAGCTTCCATAGTCTTGCAGGAAATGAACCAAGACATACAGTTGCTGAAGAGCTATAGCAACAAAACACAGATTATTTGGGTGCCACTGGACATATTTGCTAAAACTGTAGCCCAGTTTCAGGAATTCTACAGAGGGCACGCTGGAGGACAGTGAAAACGACTGTTGCTTCATCGTTAGGAAGAGAGATGCCATCTTCAGTAAGAATCCTGGCTCTCTGAGCTTGCGGGTGAGCACTTGGTTGACCTCAGAGGAGGCAACAGACAGATTTGATTTCCTGCAGTGGCAGAAAGGGAGAGTGACTCATGTGCTTCAGGAGTCCTGCTGTCCAGCACATGTCCTGCAGTCTCCCCACCTTGCTTTCTCTTTTTCCCTTTCTCTTTTCTGCTCCACCATCTTGATGTTTGTCGGTATGGATTCCACACATTTTGGGGACCTGGGTATATTTTTATATTGTTCTTCTGAGTCTTGAGACAGCCTCTGGTCAAATCCAAGTTGGGAGAAGACTGACATGCTTCTCGCCAAGGGCTTTACCATGTCCAGAAATTGGTAGGTCACTGGGGGTCAGGGAACTCAAGCAAAATACCCTTGTAAGAAAGAAGACCCACCCAGTCTGGAATATATGCCTGGAGTTCTGGATCAAATCGCCACTGGGCAAACACCCTCATTTTGTGCATTTCTGCAATATCAGAGTGCAGTATACTTTTCCTTTTAAAATGATTGAACTTATATTTAGATATGTATTCTGTCAAAGGTATTTTTAAATTTGACTGAATTTGCTAGATTCACAGTGTAACTCAACTTTATAGATATTAGCTGTTCAGCCTCAGTTGGTGATTCTTATAAGCAGGTAGGCAAAGATATGCAGGAATGTTTTTGTCCATATTTCCATGGCCAGGTATGTCAACAGTTTTTGCACCAAAGAGGCCATCTATTTCCTGTAAGGTAGTAAGCCCTCTSAGAAGAGATTTATTTATTTAACTTCTATAAATACAACTACTTCAGGCTTTGGTATCTTCTTGAGAAAGGGCTTCTCAAGTTACTGTCATAAACAGAAGTCTGATTGCAGTTGAGGCTTCTGTCCAAAGATGGCTATCTACTTTGTGAATTGATTTGTAAGTAGAGGAGAGGGCTGTGTACCCCTACTCTACTACTCCAGGCTGTCCCCCATCCTTAGAAGTTGGCTTGTGCCAGGAATCAAAAAGGCAGCAGTTCTGCCACCATGTGCCAAAGTGACAGGGTGCAGGTTTCCGTGGACAGCTGGAGGTCTTCGCTTGGTCAAAGGTGCCTTGGTTGCAGCATCAACCTGGGGTCAGTTGCCAAGGCCTATTTATAGCATAGAGTAGAGCATGTTTTGTGTCATCTGTTGGAGTGACCTCTTCATTTTCAGGCCCATGATCAGTTTTCCTAGGGACTTCATGATGAACGTGAAAGAGCCCTGACTCTGGGAGTGTCTTTACAGGTGACCCTGGACTAGTCTCTTTCCATTTCTGAGCCTCCGTTTCTTCATTCACCTGTGTTGTCCCACAGCTGCTGGGAGGGCAGTTAAGAGATAATGGACATAAAAAAACTTTCTTAAAACCAAAGTTCAGACTACTTTTCTTAGTCTGTATGTGCTACCATAGCAGAGTAACATATCCTGGAAATTTATAAAGAATAGACATTTATTCTTACAGTTATAGAAGAACTTATCAAGATAAAGGTGCTCAAAGGTTTGATCTCTGGTTCCAAGATGGTACTCTGTTCCTGTGTCCTCCAGAGAGGAGGAACATTGTGTCCTCACATGGCAGAAGAACAAAAGAGAACCTCCTTCCGCGAGCCCCTTTTATTGCAGCATTAATCTATTCATGAAGGCTCTGCCCTCATGACCTGAACCACTCTCCAGAGGCTCTACCTCCAACACTGCTGTGTTGGGGAATAAGTTTCCAACACAGGAATTTGGGGGGGCACATTTAGGCCATACCAGTGGTGTTCTACTGTTATCAGTTGTGAGCTTTAAAATGTTCTCAGTATGTGTCCTACTCTTGAGAAACATTGAGCTCTTAATCTTATCTGGCAGCAGTTTTCTAAAGACCTTCATTCTTAATAAAAATCTGATTAACTTTCCCAGATAGAGCAGGGCTKTAATCTCCACCACCGGGTCCATTTCCTTCTGCAGTGGTGCTTAATCCTGGTCATGCATTGAAATCACCCAGAAGCACTGGACACAAACAGGAACCTGAGCTCACCACAGGCCGTCAGAGTAGAGCAAAAGCAACCTGCCAGTGTATAGCAGACCCCTTTGCCCCCACGAATCCTTGTTTTCCCAAGGCAAGTAAAGTAAAAAGTTGCTTGATAGGAAAGGAACTTCCCTTCTGCATCAACTCTAGAGTATCTCCCATAAATGGGGCTTTTGTAGTCAATGCAGTAATCACTGAGAAAGTCATTCATTTTGTGTTCTACTTACATAGACTGTATCTTCTCTTCCCTTCAAATTTCCTTCTGAAGAGATTTTGCTGTAGTTTAGGGTCTAAAATGGAAGCCTACTTCTCTGACCTCTTGACCCTCAGCAAGGGTTCCTCTCTGAACATGTAGGTACCACTGGGTTGGAAATGTCAAAGAAAGACCTTGAGAGCTAACAAAACAGGTATGCAAAGCTGGGGGCAGTAACTGCCTACGCAGAGGACATGGCAGCCCTCTGCATGTGCCATTTGCTGAGGGGGGAAAGCCAAAGGTTTGTAAAGATTGGAAAGATGGTGCATGGGGTTATGCAAATGAGGACTGAAGACTCGTCCCTCTAGGGGTCTCTAGGTCTCATTGATTAAAAAACCTGCCTAGTTCCTTAGTCAAAAAGAATCTTCAGTTAGATCCAGGAAGTGGCTCAGCATTTATGTGGTTCTTATGCAGCTTCAGCTGGAGAGGGAAGTTGGATGAGACCTGCTCACAAATCCTTTTCTCAGGGAGAACATCTCCTGCAGGATGACTTTGCTGGGACCCTCCCAACCCTCCCAGGCCAGGACCCTTTATGCTTGGCCCTTTGTTCAAACTGGATGAGTCCACCTAGACCCTGCTGTCCCCGCTTTCAGGACAGGCAGGGAATGAGATGCTTGTTTATGGATAGACAAATATAAAGGAGAGAGGAGTGTTCTCCCATTTCTCATTCTGCCAAATCCTAGATTTTCATGTGTTTTATTGTTAGGAAAAAAGAATATCACATTTTTTGACACTCCCCATTCCCTTTTTATTTTGTAAATGGGCACAAGGAATAAATGAAACAATTTTAAATCCAGAGAGCACTTCTCCCCCCAAAACAGTCCCCTGCATGTAACTGGCTCAGAATCTATCTTCTCATTATCTCTTGTTTTTTTTTTTTTTTTACCTTTTTATTTTTCAAGAGCAGACATTGAACTTTGCCTATTATCTTTTTTTTTTCATTCTGTAATACTCTATAATCAGAGTATAGGTTTTCTGTCCTTTTTGTGTATTTTATAGTAATTATTTTAAAATTCATATTCTTCATTACCAGAGGCTTTTTTTTTTTTTTTGGTAGAATTTTCTACAAACACGGGCAGGAAATCTCATGTGTTTTTGTGTTTGTTTTTTATTTTGCTATTGGTGATCCCTTACCAATGGTGCAAGACAAACAAAAACCCCTATTATTTAGGCAGCACTTAAGATGAAAAAGCATATAGTTTTATTTGGGTGGGAGTAAGTCAGTTGGGAAAGAAAGTCTGTAGTTTAATAACTTTTAAATGATTAAGTGTGGGGGTTATAACACTTTTATGGGTAAATATTGGAAATATAAATTTTAATAACTAAAGAATCCTCAGCCCTCCCCACTTAAAGAGCAGAAGTGGGAGATAATGAAGAAGAAGAGAGAGGTAACAGTGAAGGCCTGCAGGACTAGGGAAGGGAAGGGCTTCAAGGGAGAAATTAAACCAAGAGAACAGCAGCCACCATTTTAATAAATCCACAGGGTATGTGGTACATTTGTCTTCTTCAGTCCACCTTCTCTAAATCCACACTGTCTGTTTTGGCTGAATGGGAGAACCTTCAAATATATTCCTTTCCTGAAATCTTGAGTTAGTTATAGCTTTGTGGTCGTTGTTGGTGTTCATAACACAGATGAACTCAAGACCTTTCGCCAGTTTGCCACGCCCTCCTCCCCTCCCTCAGTTTCTGGCAACCACTCCTCCGTTTGCTGTCTCTATGGATCATTGTTTGCTTTTTGACTTAAAAGCATGATGGTGTTGCCTTTGATGTGTGGTCACTTGTTAGGAACTCTGGGAGCTCCATCAGGAGCAATGCAGATTGACCTCCCTCTCCTGGACTCTGATAGGGGCAAGTGGTTTTCCCCATAGTCTAGAGGCAGAGGCCTGTGTCCAGGAGCCACTGCAGTCTGAGGCCCAGTCTGTAGAACATGATTCCTTATGCCAAGATGCTCTTCCTAGGATGGTTGGTCCTGACATCATTCCACTGCCACACATCTACGGAGCTCGAATCAAAGGTGTGGAAGTGTTCTGTCCCCTGGACCCCCCACCTCCATATGAAGCTGTGGTGAGCCAGATGGACCAGGAGCAGGTACTGTTCAGAGTGTCTGCCTTTTGTACATTGACTGTCAGCAGGCCACATGGCTCTCTCAGGGGAGACTGCCCTGCTCATCATTTTAAGGAGTTCACTGGGSATGAGCAGTGAGTTGAATATCAGCAAAATAACCCTGTCTTTTCCTGTGATTCAGGGATCTTCATTCCAAATACCAGAAGGATCAGAAGCTGCTGCGAGCCCTTTGGAACCAGTTTGCACACAAGTGACTCAAGGTAATAGACACATTCCCACTGCCCAAAGTCATGATTCAGTTCATGAAAACATGGTAGAAAAACAACGAGTCTTCTGATTTGTTGGAGGTCAGGTATTCTTGGAGAAAATGGGTCAACCTATATACTTCTTTCCAGGTGCAAAAATATTATCAACTATTAGTATTTGTAAATGGGACATAATTGTGAAAAGAAAAAGAAAAGATATCCTTAGAATCTTTTATGAATAATCAGGTCTATTTCCAGGAACCTGTGAAATAGATTAAAGTTTAATTTGGCCTTCCTATCTTTTCTCCTATTAAAATAAGCTGAAGTCCTTTGAAGGAATAAAGGTTTCATTTATTGCAGGGTGGTTTGTTGTAGGATTGCACTGTGTCATTTATAACCTAGTGCCCTGGTCATGCTGCTTTAACATTTAGTGAATTCTGACTTTTAGTCCTATGGTAAATACTAGAGTCAGTTCACATTTGTCCTTGTAATTTAATGATATCATTTTTATAGCTTTCTCTCTTTGGGGAGGTTTTAAATGACCCAAAGAATTGTCCACTAGGACAAAATTGCAAATGGTAATAAATAATGAATCAACTTTTAGCTATTTTAGATAGAAGTAATTTTTCAACAGTACCATTTGGATTGGGTTTCTGTTTACCTTGTGTGTGTGTACGTGTGAGGCATGTGCTTTAACTACACTCCCAGCCCTCCATCCAACTGAAGTAGAATTATGAATTAATATTCAGTTACCCTAAATGTGTTTGTAATTCTTGCATTAAAAAATATTTTCCAAACTGCAGATCAGGTTCCCAAATGATGTACTTTTATTTCTGAGCAGAGGTCATCCAAATCTTGAGTGGTTTTACTGACTGATTTAGTAGCCACTGGCTCCTTAACTGGACTATGCTGGAGTTCCGCATCTCTGGGTGAACTCTGAATTATGCAGATGTCCCTCTGCCAGGCTTTGGTCTACAGCTTGGGGCAGCCCCTCACTTGTGCAGGTAGTTCCTTCCACGGAAGCAAACTCATTCTGAACATTTAGAAATGATAAAATCTCTTGAATCTCTTTTCAGAGCTATATCAGGATTCTTCAGTGGAGAAGATTCTGAGCAAAAAGAAAAAAAAATCTGACATTTTGGCATGCATTCTTTATTTTGCTCTTGGGCTTAACTTTTTTTTTTTTTCTGGTTTTTGGAGTGGTTTGGAGAAGTCAGTTTTCCCATAGAGCTAGGAAATAAAAACTTACTGGGCCAGCAGCCKAAGTAAATGTTATTAACTATACTACTGTCACCCTGGCAGGTTTGGGCTCACAGGTGTTTCCTGCCTAACAATTTCAAGACTATAGATGGTGAAATAATTTGTTTTTTTTCCTTTAAAAAAATCAGGTGGGGACATTTCTAACACACCTGGAGAAGAAAGCACACCCACAGCAATTCCCAGCTCACATCCAGAGCATCCCTCAAGAAACTGGAGAACCCTCCCACCGCTAAGGACAAGATCAAAGAGTGACCCTGTCCTTCACCATTCTGAGGAGAGAGGTGATGTCATCCCCCAATCTCTTTGCAGTCCACTGTGCTTATTTGCCTAAAGATGTCAGGTGAAGCGGGTGATTCTGGCCAGCCCAGGGACCTGCAATTTAAGTGGGATCTCGAAGGAGGCTAAGAAGTTGTGAGGAAATAGGTATTCTGTATGCACACTGGGATTTATTTCTGACACTTTTTTTAAGGATGGAAAAGAATTTGTGTTTGAAGTCATTGGCATCAAAGGTATTTTGTTGCATATGACACTGGTCCTACAGGAAGAAAATTATGGAAACCTAGTTCTGATTTCTAGTTGCTTATAATTCTGTGGGAATAAGTCATAGGGATATATTGTTTTTACCCTCCCCCTTCTATAATTAAACGTTTGTTATCTTTTCTACTGCGTGGGAGTAGATTGAATTATTGAAATCTAACCTTGTTTTAAGAACTTTAGATAAAGTGAAACATACTCCCACACTTAATCTCCCTCTCCATTTAAACTTTTGCTTGAATAGAGATGTTATTTGAATAATGTAAAAAAACTTTTAAATGGATCTTTTTGGTGAATATCTGAACACTTAGACATTCTCCAAATAGCTTACTACTGTAGAAAAAATATTTAAAAGTAAAGAGGTAAAGAAATAAAATCAAAATGTTGTGTGATTTCATTAGCAGGGACTTCTTTTGGGGAACAATTCTAGTAGGTGGTCTTTGCTCTTCTCAAACTCTGTGAAAATTAAACTCTGGACACCTTCTGACACAACTGTCTCTTAGCTCCTGTCTGAGCCCTTGCAGTCTGGGTTCAGTCCCTCTGACAGCACAAGTTGTTCCACAGCTCTGGACTGACCTTGCGGGAGCCACAGGAAACACTCCTCTTGTTTCTGCAGCCGCTTCAGAGCGGGAAGAAGTCCCGTTGCCTGGCCTGAGTGTACCTCTGCAACCCAGCAGACTGGGCAGCCTCGCCCCTGATTCCAAGACCTGCCTCCACTTGGGTCTCCCTTACCCTACCTGGCGAGCTGAGGACTCAAGCTGGCCACCTGCAGGCTTCCATGAGAACTCAGCTGTTTACATGGCTAAGGGAGATTTTTCCGGAAACCCTTCCCATTCTTCAGCCCTGTGAGGATGAYATATGATTACCCATTGGATGGCTTCATTGGGGAAGGCACTAGGTCGCTTTCAACCAAACTAGTGTTAGATTCTGACTGTCCTCACACATGAGTGTGTTTCGTGTGTATTTCTGGAAGGCTTTTGCTCTCTGTCACATGCAAATGGCAGCCTGAGAGAATGACCTCTAGCCCCAGTTTAGGGCTCCTCGGGTCTACTTTCTTTAGAGGAAAGGGAATGCTCCTGTTCCTCCACCTCCTCTCCACGCCACTGCTTCTCCACTGCTTCCTGTCTTCCTTGAATACTAAATACGTATCAGGTCTTCCAAGACTCAAGTCGCCAGTTTGATATACACTGAAGGCTGCTGGCTAGGTTTTGGACACATGGAGACCAGACTTTTGTTCCACCTCACATGCTTCATGGTGCAGTAGMATTTGGCTGGTCTTTACATCTTTGCTGATGATGCAGGTAGCCATGCAAATTAGAGCCTCTAATGGATTTCCCAGGCCCCTATTTGACTTTCAGAATGATGTGTAATTTTTTCTGCACCTAATTTTCTGTAATAGCCATATAGATCTACCTCATAGCCATGGTGTGAACATCGGTAATAGAAGTCAGTACAATGCCCTTGAGGATGTTTAGGACAAAGGTACAGTCAAAGTGAACATAGCATTATATTCACTACACAGTCTTGTTTCTTTTCAGTCCCTTCTTTTCTGTCAGTGACTCCTCCATCCTCCCTGCTTGGAATATTCATTCATTGGTCAACCATGGTTTTTCTGCTTAGCTCATCCATCCCATCTATCTGCCATACCCCATGGAACTTGCTCCACTATGGGTTACATTCTGGATTCTATTCTCTGTCATCTGTCTTTACCTTGGGGATTGTGCTTTATGTGACATAGTTGAATGTCTTGGGACATGTCCAGTTGGAAATGCACTTCAGGGAATTGGCTTGTGCCATAGTTGTCCCCACTCCCCTTTTCCTTCTGTAAGATGAAAAGCAAGATGTGCATGGCTATTGGCATTTGTCAGATGCTTTCCGCGCTAAGTTCTGTGGCCTATGTTCAAAGGGGCTTGGCCAACGAGGACATGTTATTTATCTGCCCACAGCCACCCCAGTGCTCAGCTGTGAAGCTGCGACACAGACCGAAAGGAGGCTGGATCTGGCCGCAGTGACTCTAAGAAGAGGCTTGAGACCAAGAGCGTCAAGATGCAGACCACGGTCTTTGATAGACTATAAGTCTTACATAGATACCAAACTGCTGGTGGCCAGGTTCCTGGAGCAATCTTCCTGCAGTATGACCCCAGACATCCATGAACTTGTAGAAAACATTAAATCTGTTTTGAAGTCTGACGAAGAGCACATGGAGGAAGCCATCACAAGTGCCAGTTTCCTGGAACAGGTAGTTTTGTTATTGATATTGGGCATGAATCTGATAACTGGTTCCCATAGCAGCTTGAGTAGCTCTCTGATTTCCCACCCAGGGCAGAGTAGGTTCAGGCCCCTGTCTCTAGGCACCTGGGGATAGGAGATCAGGGGATGGGGAGAGAGGAAGCTGGAGAGGCTTCCTTCTAGATGCAGYGACTTTTCTGTGGTGCTCTTGGTCAAAGGGAAGAGAACCCAGTTTTCTGGGACACAGAAGCAGGCCTAGAAAAAGCAAAGGATGCAGACAGTATCCTTCACAACATTCGAGTTCCTGAATTCAAGATTTCCCTTGATGTGAAGTGTTTTCTCAACCCTTCAAAAATGATGACTTAAGGTGAATCTTAATATTGGCAAGATTCTGGGAGTGATTCACATTCTCACAAATTGCTTAGCAAGATAAATGAGCCAATAGGACTTAAAGGAATAAACACTTTTTCCTGTCCACAACTGAAAAGTATCAGGCAGTTTTCTAAGTGGGAGTAATTCAGGGAAATGGTAAAATTGGGTATGCACATAATCCTTCTGGATCTCAGGTTTCTCATCTCTAAAGTGAAGGATTGGGCTAGGTGATATTGAGGGGAATTAAAATGATAAATAAAATGGTGGTCTAAACCCCCAGACCTCTGAATTAGTGGAATTGCCTCCTGGTAAAAACCTCTCCAGCATCTGAAAAACTGTTAACTTTTAGATGTTTACCCTGTTGCTGTGGGTCAGTGCACAGAAGCACTTGGTATGACCTGGCTCAGCGCCTTTGAGCATTAAATACCAAACAAATACTTCTCAAGTTGAATTTGGACGATTTTCAGGGTAATTACCGCTTCCAGGATTCTAGGTAAAAATTTAAGGTAGCTTGAATACACCCACTTCTTGCTCTCTTCTCTGTTCTTCCACTTCTTATTGAAACCGGAAGTCAAAATCTCTCCTACTCCCTCAGGGGCCCAGAGGAGAAGAACGATCTGATTACTTTCAGGAAGAGATACTTGAACTTCAGACCCTGCTGTGGTTTGCTCTCTAAAAGAGTGTTAAGTCAATGATTCTGGGTCAGGTTCCATTTCGTAGCCTATGTAGGGGAGACAGTTACATCCTGGCAACCCTGACCTACATTAGTTGTCATTCTCTGCTCCCTTCATTCAGTCCAGCCCCAATAGCTCAATAAACAGGAGTATTTGGAACTACTTTTCGAAGGCCACCAACCTTTGCTGTTGGGGAAGAGCTGGAGCATCCTTCARACTTCTTCAAAGTCTTGCTCTCTGAGAGATAGCTCTGAGGAAAAAGAACAGGCATTTACAGTTGTCCAGGTTTTATAATTACAAACGTTTGCCAGGTCCTTGAATCCTAGACTGGTTAAAATTTCAAGTACTGAGATTGTTGTGGCTGACATATGCTGGGGCCTTCCAGAATTGGATCCCCAGAGGTCAGTTATCATGATGCCACACCCCTCCCAGAAGGCAGGCAAGGACAACAGAAGGGACACTGATTCAACCTAGCCTTGCACACTTTCATTTTCTTTACCCTCACTAGAATGAGTGCATTTTAATTCCCCTCAATGTATAAAAAAAAACCACTTCTCCTAAACATATCATTTAACACAGTGAAATTTAATGAATGTTAGAATTTTCTCCTTGATCAAGAAACAAAGGCAGACCTTCAAGACAAATATAATATTATTTCAGAGTGTTAGCAAAATTTAACATCCCGTCTTTGGGAGACTAACCTCCTAATGACCTTACCGGCTCAGAATGGTACAAATGAAACAAAGTCCTCTGGATGGTTATTGTGCAATGGGAGGTGGTGGCTCCTGAGTTCCCCCAAGGTGGTGCTGTTATCAGAGGTCCCATGGACATGTCTGTATAATTCTCCAAAATTACATTAACTGGACAGCCCTCCTCTTCCAGTCCCAGCTGGATTAGGGACTTCCCATATTTTTGCCATCTTTAGATGATATTATTATACGTTCAAACCCATTGCAAAACAGATCTTGCAGAACCATTCTTAAATAGCTTTTCCAGATACATTGGCCTCATCTAAATTTTGTTTATTGAAGGGTCGTGAGATCCACCCGGAGCATTATTGATCCTAGGTGACGTTTTAACTCATGATCTGACCAGACCAGTGGTAACTAAATTTCACCTGTGTCCTTGTTAAAAACACCCATGCTTGAACTGCCCTGTAGACTGTCAGAATTGGTTGCGTGTGGGCATTCATGTCTCTAGCATCTTCCTTGACCCCACCACCTTTCTAATAATGAGAATCTCTGGCTTACACTATAGGGAAGTTGGAGAAAACTGATGAGAAGAATGTGAAATATAAAGCAAGAAATTGCAGTTGACCAATTGAGTGTGGTGGGTCTACTGTTAAAACAGTAGAAAGTTTGGAGAATTTCTTAAGAACTTTAGAAAAGAGCCAGTATATTAAAAGTATCTGTAGAATTCCAAATAGGTTCTACTTTGGGAAGATACCCCCTTTTCTTTCCCTTATTTTTGGAAGCGATTAAAAACCTGGTGGGGGGGAGAAATTTAAAAGAAGGGAGATCTATGAAATAGAATGAAGACCAATAGAGTAGAGRAATGGATTAAGAGGGAAGGAGGAGGGGAGGGCAGGGGGCAGTACTGGGGGAAAAAAACCTACCAAATATGCCATGTCTATGTGTAAATAGACCACAATGCATGCAAATATATAAACATAATGCACCAACTGAAATAATAATTGAAGCGAGTAGTAGAGTACGGTAAGTGGATAGAGGAGGGAGGAGGGGAAGGTAAGGGAAGATGCTGGGGAATGAGACTGATCAAATTATGTGCATGTATGAACATGGCTTGAGTCCCACTATTATGTGTAATTGCGATGCAGCATTAAAAAAATTTAAAAATACAAGGATAGTTACAGAACACAGGTCAGTGGGCCTCATCTGGTGAAGCTTAGCCTCTCCCACCCTCTCCTTATTCTCTCAAAGATAATGGCCCCACCGCAGCCCAGCACTTCCAGGGTCCACACGCTGCCCTCTCGGAGACAGCCTGGCCTGCTGCACCTGCGGAGCTGTGGTGACCTGAGCACCTTCGTCCCGGCAGGGAGGCCGAGAGTGGAGAGGAGACCCTCGAGAGCAGAGGCCGAGCGGCCACACAGCCTTATTGGTGTCATCCGGGAGACTGTCCTGTGAACCAAGGAAGATGAAAGACCACTCCAAGGGGAAGGAATCCCCTATTCTCTGTGCCATGTTACTGGCTGAGAGTCGGGGTCCCGCTCTGGGAGTTCCTCAGAGGGAGGTACCCTGGAGAATGTTTGTTCCTGCTCCCTGGCTCCCCTTTTTGCTGCTGGGGGCACTCCAGGGTGAACCAACAGACTTTCCCAGGCCCTCTTGGGTTTGGATGCAGGAGTTTGAGGGGAAGGTGGCGAGCTGTCTCCTTCCTCTGCCGGGTCTCGCAGCATTCCTGAGGGTCACATGTCCCAGCGGGGGCAGAGACTGGGCTAAGGATTCTTTGCCCACCTCACCCTCATGTCTCTCCTGGTTGCCAAGTTCTTTCTCCCTGTTGGAAGGACAGAGCTTCAGGGCTGCTATTTATAACTGCCTGCGGCCTTTCACTGCTCAGTGAGAGGAATTGGCAGGAGACACAGTGATTAACCCCGATGTGACTGCAATCCTCAAGCCTCTTTTTAGGTTACTCTCAAATCACACTCTTTTTAGGAAAAACAGGAAACTGTAAGTGGCACCTTTTAATGAAAGACATTTAGGGAGAGAATTATTGTTGATTCCATTTATTCATGCTTGCAAAACTAGAGCACCTAAGACAGAACGAGAATAAAAACGTTTTGGACCTTCAGGCTTGGCGTGCAGTGTTTGTGTGTGATCAGGTGAACAGGCCTTACCTTACGGAGCTGGAGCTTGGAGCAGTGGTGGTCAGGTTCCACAGGAAGGCCGCCAAACCAGTTTAATCTCCAAAGCACCTGAACATGGCTTGAGGTGAATCCCAAGGGGGATAACAATGTACCCCTATCCTTTGTGGGCTTGGCTGGTGCTGGGCTAAGTGGCTTTGAGGTGCTGCATTCTAGTGGAGTCTTGAACGCTAATGCAGTTACAGGTTGGGAATTAGTGCTAGGCAGGAAGGGGTGCTCGGGGAGGGCTTCTTTGAGGAAATAACACTCTAGCTGGGTCTTGCAGGGTCAGGGAAGAATGTTCCAGAAGAAGGAGAGGCCAAGAGTACTAAAGGTGACCAGAAACCTGAGTCAGAGGAGAGGTGGACAGGAGACTCGCAGACCATGTTCTGGGCTAACCGTAAGAGACCATGGAAGAGTTTGCAGTAGAAGATTAACAGTTCTAATTGTGTTTTCAAAAGATCACTGTGCTGCTGGGGGAAGAGTTTAGGTTGGGTATATGAGGAAGTGTGGAAGGAGGAAGTGGGATTGGAGGCTATATAGTAGATGGAATACTGGTTCTGCTGGCTGCTGCCCGGGCACCAACCACTGTGCTAAGGGCCTAACTTATGTTCTTGTTTTGTGCTCAGCACAGCCTGTGTGGTGGGGCCTATTATTGTCCCCATTTTATAGATGAGGAAAATGAGTTTCTGGGACTTTGTCAAGGTCATGCAGAAGCTGACATTTTACTGTCAAACCACCCAGCTCATGACAGTACACCATGCCTCAGTTCCTGAATCGAGGTAGTTTGCACCTCGTGGTTCTGTGAGAAAGTGGTTAAGACATCCTGCTTGGCTCACTGGCTCCAACAACCCATGGCCGAGTGGGGACTGAGGTGGGGTCAGGAGACAGAGGAAAAAGATGAGAGACTACTGGGAAGTGCTGAGCTGGAGTGAAAAATGGGCTGTGGAGACATCTGGAAATGGGGAAGAGATGGCGCACCATGCACACACAGACTGAGTCCGGCACACCTTCTTGGGGTGAGGTCTGTTTTGGGGAGAGTTAGAGGAGCCTCCCAGAAGGACATTTTCTCTGTCATTACCACCCCTCAGCTCATCCCAAGCTGGCATGTGGTCATTCTATTTCTAATTCCTTGCTGTCGGCACCATGGCTGTTCACTGGGGACGGGCCCACTGCTCTGGGGCAAGCCCCTGCCTTCCCTGAGGGTCTCGGCTGGTGTCACAAGCTGTTGCCTCGCCCTTGCTCTGACRCTCCGCCAACTACCCAAGTGGCTGAGTCTGGCCACTTCCTGCCACAGAGCTGCTGATTTCTCCCAGCCTGGTGAGCCCTGGTGGTTCCCCCACCGTGGCTGATGAGGAGGGCCTGCCCATGCGCATTACCTCACTGTGGCCAGGCCTCTCTCACTTTTTTGACCTCTGCTTTTTTTGCCCCCCTGGGATGGTGTTTTGTTTTTCTAGCTGCATCTCCATCTCTCCAGAAGCCCTTGTAAGTCAACTCCAACCACCACTGCATCCCTCACAGTGTGCCTGGACGGCTTAAGGGTGGACAGGTGGATGCTGCACATGTCAATAGCTTCTGGTTCTGGCCTTGGGGGGGGGTAGTCAGAGGTGGTTTCAGTCATCCTGAGGATGGGAAAGTGGCCAGCAACACCTGGAGGAGGAAAGGAGGACATAAAGCCTGAGGGCGTCACTTAGATGGAGTCCAAGAGGAAGTGGTGGCCTGTCTCAGCCTCACAGAATTGACTCTGCAGCCTGAGAAACATTCTGTGTAAATCAGGACGGGAAGCTATTGGCAAAGTCAGAAAAATGACTTTGTCTTGCTTCCCTGACTTTTAGGACTATTAAAGTAGTGTGTGTGTGTGTGTGTGTGTATAAAACATTACAGTATATAATATAACACAATACAACATTTTATAAGTTTACTTTGGGAAGGAACTTAGTCACATGATTCATCTTCCTCATGGTTTGTCTGGATGCTAGATGAATAAATAGTCTCCAACACTTAGGCAGTAGTGATGTGATATACTTGCTCACAGGTCAGCTGGCTGTAGATAGGGAAGGCTGTTTGGGGTGTATAGTACCTTAGGGATCTACAGTCCAGAAGTGGCCAAGAAGCATTTCTCAAATGTGGTGTCAGAACTATACCAGAGGGATGATTGATTAGCATAGAGATGTCTAAATAAGTTTTTACTGGTGAAGTAAAGATATGTATGTAGTTTTTGCCGCTGTTCTAGGAAAGGGTAAAAATCTGTCCCCCCCCCCATGATGAGGTCATAAGTTAGACCAGGACTTGGGTTGCTTCTTTAGAATGTCGTCACCTACCTCAGTCTTCCCCAGCCTATTGTGTCCATGTGTCTAAGGCCAGAGAGCAGGACCTTTCCAAGTTTCCATACTTTTTTCCTGCAGACTCCTGATGATGATCTGGCTGGCAGAGTTGCCCCAAGGCTGGCTTTCCCTGGATTGTCCCACCTGATGTTGAGTTGTAGGTGGAAGGGCTAGGGCCTCCACTTGCCTGGGCTGCAGTGCTCACATTTACCAAAGCATCACATTGGCTGAAGGCCTCCTTGGCTAGGTTCCGTCACTCTAATTTGCAGATGAGGCAATTGAAGTTCAGCTCTAAGAGGAGAGCAGGAGACCAGCATTTCCAGCTCCTGGACCAGCAGAAGAGCTTGGACTATTTGGGATGAAAGAACAGTTCCTTCCGTTCAATCTCACATGTACCAAAACCTTTTGTAAATTATAGTGAACTGACTTAACGGGTAAATGAGGTAATAGTATTAAGAAAAGACAGGGGGCAAGCAGAAAAAATCAAAGTGATAGAGTGCCAGGGATCCCAACAGCCTGCAGCAGGACCCGGGAGATCCAGGCCAACTGATTCGCGAGGCCTGCCCTGCGGCTACAGAAGGCGTGGCGCCTCAGTGAAGCCATTAATTAGCAAGCAGGGAGGTTAGGGAAGGCCATTAGGTGGAATCCCGCCAGCCAAGCCCACACGGACCCTTGGGCCGAGCACGGGATCTCAGAAGGGGAAGGAAGCGGTACAGTCCCATCCCCCACAGCGGACACTCCA